AGAGATCAGTGAGAGCGATGACGAGCTGGATGAGGAATGGCTGTATCGCTGGAAGCACGCAGAAATCGACAAAGCAAACCTATCAGAATCTGCCAGACGGTTCATAAAACTCTTCGATGACTTCATGCACGAAGAGAGCCTGCAATCAGACATACATGTTGGAGACGCCATCGTTCGGTTCGCACGAGAATGCGGTGTACGGATATGGCGGGAAAACGTCGTGGGCGAATTTACAAAGAAGCTCGATGAGTTGTTAGAGGAAGATATTATCTCCAAGGACGTACACAGCAAAGCTTTGGAGATAGTCAGCGACCAGGAGACAAACTACCAAGGAGCCAACGAGTTGTCTCAGCGATTGGAACAGCTCGATGTTCAAAACCAGGAAACGTCTGGTCGCTCGGCTCGACTGGGAGGGTATATAAGATCTGCGCCGAAAAGAGACAGGAAAGGGAAGGGGAAAGCAAAAGTACCAGCTTTTGACGACTCCTTTGATGACGATCTTGCCGACGTTTTAGGCGATATTGACAGGTCGTACCACCGAGCACTCAATGGCTACCTGACTCCTACCACTCCAGATCCTGATGGCGATGTGGATATGAGCGAAGCACCGCCACACATACCCGAACAACCACTGGATACACCTCAAGATGAGGATGACGACCCACCGTACGGCTTATGTTACTGTGGCCAAGATGCATCGGCGACACCAGGATCGGGTATCATCACCTGTAATGACACCGTAAGTCTCGCAACCCCTCTATTACCATTGTCAATTGACATCTCCATAGGACTGCATACGACAAATCTTCCACTGGGCATGCGCCCAACAGGACACCCACTCAATAATACCAACCGACAAACCACGCGACTGGACCTGCTCCGACTGCAAAAGCGATTGCGACATGGCCAGTTAGCTCCTCGCCGTCGAAAAATCCATGGCGCCGTAGCAAGGCATCCATCTCCTTGACTCTTATCTCGAGCATATATGGCGTTCTGGGTGGGGTGGTGAGCAATGAGCTTAGCGTTGATATACGTTTCTGCCTTGGCATACTATCATCCGTTTTTCTTTATCCTTTCTTGATACCACAGCATTTTTGGGTGGGCTTTTACTTCGGCGTTTGATGTTGTGTGAGGTCGCTGCTTTGGCGACATGTAATGCGTATTGAAAGCAAGGCGTGTGTGCTGATTTTCAAAGCCGAGATATCCTACCAATACCATCATTCAAAAGTTCTACTCCTTCTGATACGCATCGGAGATGTGCGCCGTCTGTACCTGCATACTGTACTCATTTCGTCTCTGCGGCCGGAATATCGAATCTATGCACGTCATCACCCACACGTAGTAATCTCATCATCGAGATGTCAAAAGAAGCGCACGCGACAACCGATGCCATGCCATGCCAGCCCCTCCCATATGCACGTATACAACCGCAACTATATTAACCCCAATTCCCCCCATCCCTTGCTCGCCTAATATCTCCCGTCTTGGGCATATACCACATTACTACTACCTTGTCGATATTACCCTCTACAAGCATTAATGCCACCATCTAGTCCATATCACCAATACCACACCTCCGCCCAACTCCATCCCCATATCCATTGTCGTCGAGATACGCAGCACACCCACTTACCCTTCCCAATCCAACCCAACTCGCCCCAACGAGCAGAAGTATAGATTGTTCCAATGCAGGAACGCGCAGGACCAACATCATCGCTCACGCACGCACGCGGGACGCAGGTACAAAGTGCCCTTCTATATACCCACATCTGCAATCGGCGCGCGCAGCTCGCATTTTCGGATGCTGCAACCGAAGGTGAAGAATGAACCGAGGGCGACAGGGCTAAGCGGAAGAGAGCGCGAAGACGGCGATTTAATGAGATGGAGTGAGTGTGGTATAGACCACTCCTGGCTATATGACGATCTGGGTAATATACGGGCGCGTCTATGGATATGGATGGGGATGGATCGGCCAGGTACGTATGGACTAGGGATGGGGGAATGTGTTTCAGATGTAAGCGAGGGATTGACGACGGATGCGGGCGCTTCGGTGGAAGCGGAAGGCGATGGCGAGGGAAGGCAGTGGGTCTTGATAATGGGGAGGGTAGTGTAGAGGATGATGGCGCGCTTAGTATTTGTTTCGACGATGATGTGTTTCTACAAACATACTAAACTCTACGTGCTGCTACAAACGCGCCTTCCCATCCCGCGCGCTTCAAACAACATCTCCCCATCTACCTACTAATCTACCAACCACGCACACCCCCCGCACATTCGCAAACGAAAACGAATCCATCAAGAACGCCTGGCCCAAGCGTAAAGCGCCCTATCCCTACCTTGCCTTCCCCCGTCCCTTCCTTCCTTCCTTCGCCTGTTCCTTCCATCTTCCTACAGTACCTTCCCTTTCCAGAGCTTCCAAGGCACCACCTTGCATACGACGTATACAAGCCACCCGCTCGCACTCTCGCTCTCGCTCCGGAAAAAGCTCGCCCCAGAGAAATAACGTGTATTGGCAATATCGCTGTCAGATGTAATTCAAAACACTGGCGTCATTGAGAGCGGCAGGGCAGCACGAAACAGAATGGCAACACCTGGTTGCTGGGACGGTTGTCACAAAACGTTTGTTTATATTTACACGTTGAGAATTTAGCACGGTAGGGTTAGTTAGACAGTCAGCCTCGTTCTATGCCGTTAGTGTTTATCGACACGGCAGAGCAAAGGGCGCCGTCGAGAATTTAGACAGAAACTTCCCAGAGGCCAGGGAATCGGTAATGTGTGTTTTTTTGACGTGTCGCATTCGCGTTGTGTAGCCCGTTGGACTAAGGGGACGATTAATTCCTTAGACCGAGGCTGACAGTATATAGTGGAAAAGATGAGAAACGGCACTGGTATGCTTGCTAGGCGCGATGTGGGGTAAAGGTTCGGTGCGTAAGATCTGATACGTTGCGGCCGAGATACTGGAGTTAAGGTTCCGTCATCCTCCATCATCCCATCCCCTGGTCCGCGCTTGTGGACAGGGAGTGTAGTGGTTGTTGTGTCAACGAACAACCATTGCAAATCGTAAGAGTGACATTCCAGAAATTTGACGGGCGTTTTTAGCCGCAATGTTTACCACAGGCTAAGTTGGTTGGACAGGCAATGGCTGTCTGCGTCTGCTGCTTGCTGTTCTGCAGTTTCGGTGTTGGGACATGGTCGATGCGTGCATGCGTTGGCGTCATGTCGACTCCCCTTTCGTGCTGCAGCAGTAGTCTGCAGAGACAAGTGCGTAGCCGCAAACGCAACGCTGCAACTCGAGTCATTTCCTCACAAGTCTCTCAACCAATACTCGTAGCTGTTTTCTTGCCGAAACACTTCCGGTGAAGATGGAGTAGAATGTTTGAGACTGTGGATGGCGATTGATTGTTAGGTGTGGAGGTTGTTTGGGAGGGCGCTTACATGCAGATTGCCGAATAGTTTTGCGCGCGGAGTAGCAATGGTACCCCTGCGTCGCGACCTTGTGTATGAGGTACGAGAACGGGCGATAGTAGTACCGGAACTCGTAGGGTATTCATAGGTGAAACAAGACCCGTTGCTCGTGTCGCGCGCCGCGGCTGGCGTCGCCTTACGCTGCCCAGTTCGGGATCCCAACCACTTCCTATGATGCCTTCCTGGTCAGCCTGCAGGAACTCGATGTCGTGAAATGCTAGTACTCGCTAGATGAATGGACACCAGGATACGTACATTGACACGCAGGAGCGGTGTGCGACATGGTACGAGGGATGCTCGCTCAAAGCGATGGGAAGAATGCGGACTGATTGGCCGTGGCCAAGTCTACTATTGATGCTGTTGCTAATAGGTGCTTTTTGTACAGAGGCCGTAATGCGGAACTGATCGGAAATCCATCTATCGTACACGTTGCGGAAAAAACAAGATGGCTGGCATAGGCGCCTTACTGCCGAAAGAGATACGAAAATACGAAACTCTTTAGTCGTGAAGATAGCGATACTAAGACATTAGGTAAAGGTTCGTCATATCTCAACTTTCGTAGTGTCGACATGCAGTCAATGAAGAAAGGAATGAATAAAGTGTGGCAAAGAAATCGAGCTTGACAAGAAATGATGGTGTGTCTGGGACAAATGCCCCAGAGCTGCAATAACAACATGATCATGATCAATGATGCGCGCGCTTGACGAGTGATCATCAATGGTGGTAGCAAGCGTAAACGACAGAGCGTACCTCCATGTGTCATGGCCATAGGTCATCGTGAGTGCGTAAGTAAAGTCGTTGACGGAACGCTTTCAAAACAGGATTACCGCCGTATGTTGCTTTTGGACGTAAGAAACGCTGTCATATGCCGACCGTGTCTTTAAACGAGTGAGGTGTCGTGGTTCGTGGTTGAGTCTCTTCGACCCCTTCCATGCGCACATCTCTGTCCCTGGATTCTGATGAAGTTGGCAAGGGCGCAGAGATGGGCGTATATGTTGAGTATGCTTGGTTGCGATTCGGGTCGCCAGACCCATATTGCAGGGGAGATTCCATTTCGCTGGTTGCGCGGTGCTTCTCTAATTCCAATGGTGTTGGCCTTGTCCGTCTTCTCTTTCCTGATGAGGACTCCGACCCGTGTTCTACCCCGATTTGTTGTTGTGGTGTCATCGCGGGAGCTAATTGGGAAGGCGCTGATGGCGGAGGTGTTCGATCGTGCGGCCGAGGATCCGGTCCGAGTGGTGACGGTTCAGGTGGTGCCGTGATGGATTGTCTCCCCCTCCTAGGTGGTGGATACACCTCGCCCCTCGCAGCAGCCTCTTGCGCTCTTTGTTGCGCCTCCGCTTTCGTAGGTCTTCCGCGTTTCTTCTTGTTCGCTGGTTCGCCAGATGGATTTATAGTAGATGTGTAGGCAGGGCCGGCAGGCATAAAATCTCCAGGGTAGGAATGAGGGGGTCGAGGTTGTAGTAGGCGGCCAATGGGCGTGGAGGCTTCTTGCTGATGGGGTCGTTTCCTCGAGAGGTCGGGCGCAGGATATATCATTGGGGCAGGTAGCTGAGGGCGTCGGTAATCTTGTCCAGGCGCGACGAAATTGGTTGCGAGACTGTCAAATGCCATCTGGCTAGAGCGAACCGATCGGCCTGCGTCGCGTTAGTATGTTCTTCTTGTATGGAGAGTACGTGTAATGTTATAGGAATAAACGTATTTACGAAAGCGCAGAGGATCAAACATACCAGGAGGTAAAGCCATGTCGTTCCATCGTGGTTGGATGTTGGCGTCGCGTATAAATTGAAAGAGAACGTGAGATGGTATGGGGGCCGCTTTTAGTACTTCAGCAAGTAAATATACCTGATGTGGTTGTATTAGTGACTTATTCATCGCGAATAGATGTGTTACAATGGGTGAGAGAGGTACGTACCTTTTCATGCTCTGCCCATGGTGGCTCGCGCGAGCTCGAGGGCTCCATGTCGTGATCCTCGATACGCTCAAAATACGCGAGGGCAGAGACCAAGAAGTAGCTACGGCAAAAGCTTGCTGTATGCAACCAGACTAATCGAGCATCGATCACAAGGCCGTAAAGTAAGTGGACCGGCGCGAAGAGCGACGCGCCCTCGCGCGCGGTTGTATAGCTGCGTCTACCAACAGAACAAACGAGAGTGCTGAAACGAAAGAGTAACGAGCGGTAGAAGAAGAGCACTAAAATCAAAGAAACCTGCGGCGGGCTCTGGTTGTCGATTTCATGCCAGCAGGCAAGAAGTGTGTGTCAAAAGGGACCACATGAGGCTGGGTCAAAATAATTAGGAGAGACAGCTTCCCGTGAGAGATTACTGGGGAGAGCCACCCGGTATGTTATACATTAGCGGCTTCTCTTCAAAGACGAATGGGACGCGACTAGTCCCCACACCCAGGACGCAGCTTCCAAGACTTCACGCACGGTATCTGTCTAAATCAGTACTTGTCGCAAATCGATAACGAGGACTACGTATGTAACCTAGATCTGGCGGCGCTTTACCCCATCTCGAAAGCCTTTGTGGATGTTCGAAAACGATTGCGCAAACCGATGAGCCAATCGCCTAGAGGGCAGGGCCAAGCCGTGTCTCACCAGCCCTGGATGGTTTAGCCTGAGACCAACGGCCCTTCCCTTGCAAACCAGTCCCCTGCCTTCCTTTTTCTCCATGTACGCTGCCGCCTTTTGTCTCGGGGGTTTGACAGTACCGTGTTGCTCCAGATGACCGCAAGCGTGCTCGCAAGGAGGCTGAACTGTCGCGACGCGCAGCAGCGCTGGTGTCCTGCACGCAATCTGGCAAGAACGGTTCAGCGCGGATCGTCATGAGCGCGTCGCGCCAGATGGGGCAGCGGAAGACGGCCTCGTCATCCCTGTCAACGGTGCGATGTGTAGTCTGTTCCAGGACGGCTGCGTGAAAGATGTGTATCCAGAGGCACAAACTTCGCAGCGGCGTAGCTTGACTCTTTCCTTCTTCCTTATACCTGGCGAGCGACCACAGGGCGCGCATGCATAGACACGTAGCACTCGCCCGGTGGTCTTCCTCACCGTATGCTACGCGGAGCCAGTCGAGACAGTCGACGATCGGGAGCGGGCCGCGATTCGGCATAGCCCCCAATGGCATTCACGAGCGTCCGCTAGATGCAAGTGTCTGCTCTCATGGCGCAGATGTGCCGCTAATTCGCAGCGAGTGACACTCTGGGCCGTGTAGAGGCGGAGGTTAGCCGGTGTGGCCAGGTCAGCTGTCGTGCCGGCGTCATGGGTGCTGCTGTGTAGGAGTTGTAGCCGTTCGGTGAAAGTTTGCGCTAGTATACTTGTGGAGCCGCGCTGCTTCGTTCGCTTAAGTAAGCCACCTGGATGCCATCGCCAGCGACATCGCGATGCGCCATTCGCGATCCTAGCTCACTCTGCTAGCAAGGTTAGTCTTTCGGAAAGATTGTCCGCGCAATTTGGACAACCCCAGTGCAAGCATGCATATCGATGCGGAAGTCGAGACTCTCCGACCCGCCAGCGACCTTGAGTCAGTACCTAGGTAGCCAAGTAGAAACTCCGACGTACCTTGACATCAGCATATACCTCTGCAGTCTGTACATGCAACAATCGTATATCGCTGTTCAGCGCGGAATTGCATCTTCCAAGGTTCAGTCACGTCGCGAACAAAGCCATTCTTTTTGAGAAATTGGGTTCGCGCTAGCTCTGTCCCAACCCTGGACCTCTAAAAAAGGAACGAAACATGCTGATTCCACGACCAGCCACACGATATATTCCGATGACTGAACATCCGGCATGAACCATCAAAGCTTGCGGTGACTGACCTGAGTCGTGGTAGATATACGTTGCTTTCAGGAGCTCCCGAGGTCTGCTCAACACGTCGCATCACCCTGGATCTTTTCTCGGCCCGTGAAGACCGTGTATCTCGGTGACTCGCGCATGTCACTCCGAAATCGAATGTATCCTGATACATCGGCCACTGCTTGTTGCCCGTTAGCTGCGGCCGTGATACTACTTCAAATCAAGGGTGCTTACTTACGTGTATGTGTAGTCACATTTGCGTATATATTAGTTTCCTCATGTAGTAAAGATCCGTGCAACACGTTGGGCTTTCCCAGTCCGTACATAGCAAGGACGCGTGACATGTATTCTTCGCACCAAATGAGTTTGTGTAAGTGAGCACTCCCTTGGAACATCAAACGAAGTCATGATCCTTTGTTCTGTTTGCCTAACTGATTCCGACCTTCTGACAACACCTTAGTGATTCTACAAATCGCCAAGACTTCATCTTCCGCGAAGTAGCTCTATAGTCCGATGTCCCAGCGTCTCGGTGGACCCAGGCAAAGCAGTCAATGGTCATGATCTCATCATCGTATTTTTCCAGTGGCATCGACTTGATAGAAACATGTGCGCGCGCCGATGGAAACATGGTCGGAGGGGCCCTGCATCACGGACTCTGGGAGGCCGAGGCTGGACCAATTGGCTAACGCTAGTTTTCGTCCGCATCTCCAAAGTATCAACCAGAATTCAGCGCATCGCGTCGCGCGTAGCACCACTCGAACACATCGTCCACTGACCGAATTCGCGTGCTCAGGCTTCCTACGCGACAACCGCGGACTAGAAAGAATTGCCCACCGTGCCGTCGTCGAGGCAAGAGCCCGGACCCACGAAACGTCTGGCTGCGCCGACGGCTCCATCCCGCGTACCTTCATGGCGACAGCGACAGCGTCAGGGAAATACATACCTCCATAAAGCCCCTATTGCTCGGCGCATCGAGCGCAGTCTGGGCGCATAGCAGATTCGGGTCGTGTGCCGCCGTCTGTCTAGGGGAGGCGAAATCTTTGCTCCCGTCAGTGTCCAAGACGGCCGACGCTCTTCTCCAGCAGTCGCCCTGCATCCAAGCGTGCTAGGAGCTGCATCTGGAGTGTTCAGTGTATGTTTGTCGCCTGGACTATGAGGTGAATAGGCTCGTGGCTCTTCGTGTGTGATATTGGACATCGGCCGTTAGCGTCCCTCTCATTGAGATTCTCGCGATCCTCCACCCTCTGCCTCAGCACCTTCCACCACCCCCACGCCTCTCAACGATATGTCGGACAGCGAGTCGGACCAAAACACGGCTCAACTCGAGCCGGAGCTACGCGAGATGAAGCTGGAAGGCGCGACCTCAGGAGGAGCAGGTGAGGGCAAGAGCACCACTCAGGTGAAGGTGGAGGGAGATTCGCTCGACCGCGCGTCCACGCCTCTCGCCATACCTCCCAGGCTCAAGACGCGATCCAAGTCTCAGTCGCCCATGGCAAAACACGAGCTCAATACCCCATCACCCGGCAGCGCCCATGAAGAGATCGTGGGGGGAGATATTACGCTGAAGATGGAACCCGGCAAAGCCCCCAAGCTCTCGCGCTCCGCCTCCCAAAAAGTCGTCACTCGCCCACCTCCGCTATACCTCGACCTCCCCGATTCGACCGATGCCGCCAAAGAAACCTTCGTCGTCCTCCCAGAATGCACCTACGCGAACAAGACCATCGGCACGACCGACCCTGCGCTCGAATGCGACTGCCAGGAAGAATACGACTCCACAACCAAGACCAATCATGCCTGTGGCGAAGACTCTGACTGCATCAACCGCGCGACAAAGATGGAGTGCCTGGGCGACTGCAGCTGCGGTCGCAAGTGCCAGAACCAGCGCTTTCAACGGAAACAATACGCAGACGTCACGGTTATAAAGACGGAGAAGAAGGGCTTCGGTCTTCGCGCCAACAAGAATATGGCTCCCGGCGATTTCGTCTTTGAGTACATCGGCGAGGTCATCGACGAGCGCACCTTCCGCCGCCGCATGGGCCAATACGATGAGGAGGGAATCAAGCACTTCTACTTCATGTCGCTTACCAAGGGCGAGTTTGTAGATGCAACGAAAAAGGGCAATCTTGGTCGCTTCTGCAATCACTCGTGCAACCCGAACTGTTTCGTCGACAAATGGGTTGTTGGGGACAAGCTGCGTATGGGCATATTCGTTGAGCGCAACGTTAAAGCGGGCGAAGAACTCGTATTCAACTACAATGTCGATCGCTACGGCGCGGATCCGCAGCCCTGCTACTGTGGAGAGCCAAACTGCAGTGGTTTTATCGGCGGAAAGACACAGTCTGACAACGCGACAAACCTCAATAATGATACGATTGCGGCGCTCGGAATCGATGATGGTGTTGGTTGGGGTACGGCAGTCGCCAAGAAGCCCCGCAAGAAGAAGGCCAGCGAGGATGACGAGGAATACATCAGCGACTTGCAGCCACGCGAGCTTGAAGAGGACGCAGTCAACAAGGTCCTGACAGCTCTGCGCAGCTGCGAAGAGAAATGGATTGCTGTCAAACTTCTCAGCCGCATGCAAACTGACAATGAGAGAATCGGCCATCGCATTGTCCAATTCCACGGTTACGAGTTCTTGAAGACAACCTTGAACAAATGGAAGGAAGATCACAACGTTGTTTTGCAAATACTGGATATTCTACACAGGCTGCCGCGTATTACCCGCAACAAGATCCAAGACTCTGGAATCGAAGACGCGGTGAGCAAGGTGAAGGACTGCGGAGAGGAACGAGTAGAAGAGGCTGCGAAGAAGCTATTGACAGCATGGAGTAAGCTGGAAATTGGCTACCGGATACCGCGCTTGAAGAGAGATCCAAACGCTGGCACGCCAGCTCGAACCGAGAATCATTTCGAACGACGCGAGAGAGGCCGTGAGCGATCTAGGTCTAGGTCAAAGTCGCCGTCTACGATTGCGCCCAAAGGCCCGTCTGCAGCAAACATCCCGTCCGGTCCTCGCGGCGTGATAAATGCGCCTCGCGGTCCGGCTGGCTTCTTTGCTCCTGCGCGACCCGTCATGCGACCAAGACCGTTCAACGCCCTTCCCCAGGGTTGGTTCCAAGCAACAGCTGAGAATGGCTCGACATATTTCTACAACTCCAATGGCGTCACACAATGGCAACGGCCAACGCAGCCTGCAGATGCCCCGCCTCCTCCGCCCAACAAAGCTAGAAGTGATACTCAGCTATTGCAAGACATCATATCCAGCATTACCTCGAACGGCACACCCACTGGGCCCTCCGCATCTACCACCCCACAGCCAGTAGCTAACGAGGATATGGAATCCAGTTCCGGTCGTGAAAAGTGGCGGACCCTGTCAAGAGAAAAACAGGAGAAGGTGTATGAAGCGACAGTGAGTAATTCCCAGTATCTCGTGAAGCATGTCTGACCTTCATAGCTTTCACCACACGTCATGACTGTGACAAGCCATTATCGCAAGAAGCTCGAAAAGACGGAGATCAAGAGACTCAGCAAAGAGGTGGCGCAGAAGCTTGTACGAGGCGACTACAAGTCCGGTCGCGTCAAGGACCCAACAGCCAAGATCAGTACCAACCACGAGAACACCATCAAGAAATACGTAAAAGACTTCATGGATAAGGCCGTCAAGAAGAAGGAAGAGCGACAGAGACTCAAGGCCGCACAAGGTGGTTCAAAGTCCGACCTCACCAACGAGTCCCCCAGCACTCCACAAGCACCAAGCGGAGATGCCAACGACGCCTCTCCCACCGACTCCACATCCGACCTAAAGCGAAAGAGGGACGAAGAGACGCAATCCGGCTCACCAAAGCGAACAAGGACAAGTTCTGAAAACCAGGAATCAGCGCCGCCGCCTCCGCCTCCACCCCCCGCTACCGCCGATGTCGAAGAGACCCTCACGCCCATGGACGAAACCTCCACCCTATCCTTCCCCGACGCAACCGAGCGAAGTACTCTCGGAAACAAGCCATCCCTCCAACTAGACGGCTACGGCAGCCCCATGCAACTCGCGACACCTCCGACTAACGGTTCTGGTGATCAGCGGTCTCGACCCGTCAATGGAGGAGGCCAACAACAGCGTTCATAGTATACGATGAGCAAAGGTATACTTTATTCGAGTTTATGTATTACAGCTCTTTTCTCAGATTCTTATTCTTTGTAATTCTTCGGTTCTGAAGTTCAATACGTTCGTTCGACCACATGGCTCGGATGGGATAGTGCTAGCATCATATGGCGTTGGTGGGAAAAGATTAGTGGGGGGCTGTGGAATGGAGTGGAATGGGGATGCATTGGAGAGTGGTGGATATGGAGGGGTGGAGATACGTATGTATTATGTTGGGAATCGGAATCAAAAGAGACATCTACATTCGTTCTCTGTACTGTGCGTATATCTGTGATGCCTTACTTTCAGGCTCGTCCACCACATCCAACCGGAACAGCCCGTCTCTTTCACCTTCACTTTTACAAAACGCAAAGATTTCCTTCCTATTGTACCACACCCGTCTATTGTACCCAGCCATCTCAATAAACCGCGTACAATTCTCCACCGCAGGTACCATATATAAAGACTACGATCCGTTCTCCTACTCCTCTCTTCTATCCCACACACCACCCTACCTACTACACTTCCAATTCCCACACTCCCACAACAAATCAACAAACCACTTACCGACTACAACAACATGTCACCCACTCAATCATCATCCCACCTAGTGGCTTGCCATCCACGCTCACTTAACCGGGAGCTTTCCTCCCAATCCAAAATCCAGCCAGGCGCCTACAACCCGCTGTCCCCCGACTTCTTCTGGGACACAGCCTACACCTTCCCCGCCCCTATGGCAACTACACCTCTCCCCGTGGTCATCAAAGCCACCTGTCAACTCGCAACGTCGGCGGCAACACACTCCACCACCCAGACGGTCGGCCCTCCCCGCGCCCCGCGTAGTCGGCAAACCAGCCCTGGCAGCTACCGCGCGCAGCCTGCTAAAGGCGCTGTATTCGGTAGTGCACGGGTACCGCCTCCCGCGAACCCTTGGGGCGGCGATGTCTTCGCCAGGATCAAGGCTGATGATGAGGTTGTGAGGGAGCGGGCGAAGGAGGAGAGTGAGAGGGAGGGAGGGGGGACTGTTCCGTCCGAAGATGACGCAGACGTGGAGGGGTGGGTGTGGGGAGGTGGTGGTTGAGGTTTTTGAGGAGGAGAAGGGGGAGTGAGATAAGATGAAATGAGATGGGATGAGAAGAAGGAGAGGGTAGTTTTGACTGGCAATACACCAATCTAATGGATATTTCTTCATGTATCATCTTCTTCTAGATATCCAACATGTCACCTACATGCCCACAACCTTATCCCCAACCGCCTGCGCCATCATCCCCGCATTAGCAACACTACTTTCCAGCGTCCCCGCCACCCTTATAAAGTTCACAGCCAAAACCTCCAACCCCTTCTCCTCACAAAGCCTCTGCGCATTAAACCCCCACCGGTCCTTAAGATCCTGCATCTCGCCTTGCTTGCCCTGCACCGCAGCCGTATACTGATTCTGCATCTCACGAAGATCTTCGGGGCGGACTTCGATCTTGTCAGAGCTGCGGGCGAGAATGAATACGTAGCGATGCGGGCATGGCGAGATGTAATTGGGGAGCGGCGCGGGGCGCACGTAAGGCGAGCGTATAGCGGCGGCTTGGTGTGAGAGTGTGCCGCTGGAGTCGCAGGACAGGTTTGTGATGAGCCAGTGGCGGACTTGGCCGAAGGTCGTATCGTTATTCGTCATGAGGTCGGGGTCTACCATCATCAAGACGAGATTATCCAGGGTCTCGCTGGGCTGGATGCGACGTCAATCGGTGTAGTGTACTAGATCAGTGAGATTGCTCACTGCAGGGTCGAGGAAGACTTTTGGTTCTTCTTTCGTATCGGCGTTGGCTAGCTCTTTGCCTGGTGTATCGAGTTTGGCGTTGGGCCATTCTAGAGTTAGATTGTAGGAGAGGTTGATGGTGTCTGGAAGGACGTCGGGAATGACTTTGTGCTCGAGTAAAGCCTGTTTCGTTGTTTGCGAGTTCGCCATGTTGTAATATCCTGCTGAGTTGTTGCAATGCGACAATCTATTTAGAGTTGCAGTACTCGTAACACAAAGTACGTCGCTCATGTATTATACCTACCAGCGGCCACATATGCCGGAGGAAAGCGCGTATTACCAGCGTTCACGCATCATGCATTATTGCTTTCGGGAGCGATCCGCTCTCGTGATTGCGCAGCCAAATAGTCGCAACCGGTCTTGGTGTGCTTTCTTGGGTTAGTTAATGCGGATGTGAATCTGGAAAGGTATGCTGGATCGCCACGATTGTAGAGATGACGTTGTTATGACACGCATGAGACACGCGATGGACCAGGGGCAAGTGTTAGCCCTGAATCGTGATCATCGTAATTCAAACACTGCACGCCCGAGGATACACGAGCATACATATGCAGTCGCAGTGATCATAGCGTAGGCCTTCAAGACAAGCTTTTACTTCCGTGTTACATTGCGCTCAGCCGTAGCTCGTTTCTGCATTCCGCAAAAGCACCCATTCTGTCGCATGCGCCTGCAACTTCAGACAACCTTTTCAGGACGTGTTAGCGAAGACTTCCAGCTGCTTCCTGTGGTTGTCTCTGATCCCCAGCGAGCTCCACCGGTGGCCCCGTAGCTGGAGCTTCGTATCTATAACTTGGTGGCAATTCTTTGGCCGGCTCGTGATACCCCGTCTCCTCCCTCACATCCTTCTTCTTCTTATTCTTCTGCGTCCTTATTCCAATGATGACACCTACAGCAACCAGCGCGATGACACCGATAGCTGCGCCCACACCAATGCCAGCTTTTGCACCTGTCGATAAGGTACCGTTGTCATCGTTCGGTGTCGGCGCGGTAGACGAAGGGCTGAACGAAGTAGACGAGCCTGTCACAAGAGGACTACTGGTAGACGATGGAAGAGAGGAACTAGTGACAGCCCCAACAAACTCAGGTTCGATCTGATATTTCGCCAGACTAGGATCGCTGCAGCAAGCACTTGAATTGCCGCAGCACCACCAATCCGACGTAGCACTATCATCACAAGGCGTGACTTCGACATCGTTTTTCCGTTGCTCTGCCTGTAGCTACACGTAAGCTATTCGCGTTCGTTCACGTCAAATATGCGGACATCTCGTCTTACAGCACTCGAACACAGATCCTGGCAGCCTCCAGCTTCCCAGTTGGACAGTGTACATGATTCACGCCAGAAGACGCCGGGACCGGAAAGGCAAAGACCGTTCGGAAGGCACTCGTCCCACTCTGCGCAACAGATGTGGCTGAGCGGATTCGACGTGTCGTTGGAGCAGGGTTGGTATCGCGTGTCGTCCTGCGAGCCCCCGTTGGGCCAGAAACAGGTTTGCGCGCTGGCCAGTGCGAGAAGGGAGAAGAAGAATGGTATGCGCGGGGACATGATGTTCTGTGCTCGGTGGTGTACGAGCTGGTAGGGCTGTTGAGCAAAAAGGGTCGACACACGCACGACGAAGAGGGTGTCGATGTCTTGTTATGTTGGGGGCTTGTTACTGAAACATACTTCTAGAATCGGAACAATGTAAGCTTGATTGGCTAGAGCATCGTACTTGGCTCATGAGGCTTCCTGAGCTGACTGCATAATGTTCAGTAATCTGGCTTGCTCACAAGTCACCTGGCGAATGCTGTACTCCGGTTTTGTACGCCCCGTAGACTAGTAAAGGCACTTGTGCGGCCAAGATCCAGCCCCCACGCTGAATTTCGTGGCGGAGTAAAACTCAATAACAACGAGGCTCCTCACTCTGGATGCCAAGTAGAAGCCCCACAGTCAGGTTGTAGGTATCAAGACAGGCCATGATGGTTGGATGAGATGCCGACGATGCGCCCGGAAGGAAGGAAGGAATGATAGTCTAAGTGAAGACGAACACTCGAAGACAAGAGATCACGGGGAGGTACAGCAAGAGTATATAGTCCGAAACGATCATTCATTTCGCTCAAAGAGCCAGCGTCTACATGAAAGCAAGCGCCCGAAGCAACATCCAGTCACATCCAACCCATCATCACATCACCAACACTCCACCGTCAGCAACAACCAAAGGTAAAGGACAGACTTACACATCGTTGCGTCCCAAGCATCTAGTTCATCTCCCACCCCCTCACACAAACTCAAGTGCAAGAGAGCAGTCGACTATCCAGGCAGCACCACGAGGAGGCGCAAGGGTCCGACTTCTACCGCCCGTCCCCCTCTTGCGATCGCCTGGCACGCCCGCCAGCGACCCATTTTCTCCTTAATGGCAAACACTCTTTGCATCCTGCCCGAAGCCCGTCCAACCAAAGAAGTTGACCGTTATCAGGTCCGCAATAGCAGTCTGCCGCCTCGCTACATCGCAGGTAGTCAACGCCGCAAACAAAAAAGAAGCGACGCGTATACCGCGGGACACCTTGCTTCATCGTCCCCCACCGAAGTGGGAAACAAACAGCAAGACCGGAACACTTTTCGCTTCATCCCGGGCCAGGTTCAAAAGATGAGCCGGCGCGGTCCACGCTAGCAGTCCCCCGCTAGGTTGCAGCAGCTGAAACCACAAAGAGAGTGGCCAGCGCGCAGACGGTGAAGACCTTGGTCCGTCGGCTGGATGAGGCGACATTGCAAGGCCGGAGACATTTTCTCGCTTCCTCCCTGACCCGAACAACAAGTTGTCTACAGTTCGTCGCCGACAGCTCGCCGCTAACAAACAAGTCGTCCGCAGCAAACGTCAACAACAGGTCGTGACAAGCATTCGTCATCTGGGTCAAGTCGCGATAGCAGTCTGCCACGCATACCCCGTAGTCAAAACTCCGCCGCACACGAGAGCAACAGGTAGATTCCACGGGGGTGCCTCGCTCCATCCCGTACAGTGATGAGGACAGAGCTCGGCGAATGGTAAAGCCCAGTCACTCCATAAAGGAGCAAGCGGCTGCGTTTACCAAAGAAGAGACCGTTGTCACACCGGATATCCAAGCACCGCTGATCCGTAAAGGGGCAGTGAGAAGATAGAAACAAGCCGGTGTAGCAACAGTCCAGGACGATTTTTTTCGATGT